GGCAGGGCGTGGTGGTGGTGGTGGTGGTGGTGGTGGTGTAAAATGCTGCGCAGCCCCCAGCCCCGTGGTGGTGGGGGGGCGGGTGTAAAATGCGGCAGGCCCAACCCTGTGGCGGTGAAGGGTATAAAACGCAGCCCCCAGCCCCGTGGTGGTGGAGGGTGTAAATGCCACAGGCCCAGCCCAGTGGTGCCGTCCATAGTGTACGAGACTGCAGAGCTGGACCTACCTGCTGACCTTGGTTGGAGTCCCTGGCCCTGTCAGCCCGACACATGTCGGGTGCGTGTGCCCAGGATCCTGGAGGACTGGAGGAGCAGGAGGGCTCGTTCTCTCTCTGCCTCATGTACATGCATGCATTCTATCATGAACCAGAAAATAAAATCAAAATACAGTAGAGTTCTGTACTGAAAAGCCCACATCAGACTGCCAGCAGTGTCTGCCCTCACCAGATTTACAGTCTGAATGGAAGACAGTTGCATCTGAATTTGTAATGAGGAGTAGAAGTTAGTTTAGAGAAAGAGAAGATTATTTCCTGCCAGCCGGCTTTAGGAAGGAGTTCTGTGGGAGACTTTGGCGTGAGTCATGCTCTCAGAGTGTGGGTTACGTGAGCTCTGGTTTTTTTTGGTTACGTGAGCGCTGGTAGCCCAGGAATGCCTGCTGCAGGAGCAGGTGCCAAGGCTGCCTCCCAGGCTCAGCATTGGCACCTCCTCTCACACTTTCCCTCTTTGAGGGTCTTGATGATACAACCCAACCTGAGCCTCAGCTGGCTCCCGTTCATCCGGGCGGGCCCCAAACATGAGCCCAGGCCCTTCTCACATGGGCCGGCCTTACAGAGCCTTGCGTGTTGCTGTGTGCCACCCTCCAGCCCCAGGCACGACCTTCTAGAAGTCAGAACGCAGTCCTCCCTGAAGTCAGACCCTCCTAGCTGTGTTGTTTCCTAGTAGATTTGCCATATCTTTAGAGTTGTGCTCTGCCACTTTGGGTCGATGTGTGGACCTGGGACAGTTGTGCCGACTCCCTGGTGGGGCGCTAGTGCCCTCGTGCTCATCGGCCCACCCCACTGGCCAGGCTGCGTGGATTTGCTGTTCGAGCTCCCCAAATGGGGAGGACTGAGCCTGAAACAGAGAGGCTCTCCAGGCCCTGCGTCCTCGCTTCTCGCTGACCACCGCCGACTGCCGGGAGGTTAGCACGACTTCTTTTCTCCCTGGTGCGAGGTGGATGTTTGGACAGGGCCTCCGTGTTGTGATCGACCTGCCCCAGGTCAGGCAGGTGCAGGGCGAGTGTCCCCACGCCCAGGCGCTCTGACTGGGCTAGAACCAAGAAGGCTGTGCGTGTGGCTTCAGGCGGGTGAGCATGACCTGCCAGGGGCGGGTGGCTCGTGTCCTCACTCTCGCTTCTTTTGAACCCTTCTGCCATTGCTGCTGCACGTGTTCCAGCGTCCCTCCTGTGAGCGAATTCTCCACATTCCAGACTGTTCCCAAGAGAACCACACGGTTCTGACAGCACTTCTGACGTCGCAGCGGCTCCCATGTTTGATGGAGGGTTGTCCTGTGGCAGGCTGCGTGCAGCTATCTTGTTGCCCTTCATAGGAGTTCAGTGACTGTGTGAGAGAGTGAGTGAATGTTCACAGCCACCCTGTGAGTGAGTGAGAGAGTGAGTGAGCACAGCCACCCCGTGAGTGAGAGAGTGAGTGAGCACAGCCACCCCGTGTGTGAGTGAGAGAGTGAGTGAATGTTCACAGCCACCCTGTGAGTGAGTGAGAGAGTGAGTGAGCACAGCCACCCCGTGAGTGAGTGAGAGAGTGAGTGAATGTTCACAGCCACCCCGTGTGTGAGTGAGTGAGCGAGTGAGCACAGCTGCCCCATGTGTGTGTGAGTGAGTGAGCACAGCCGCCCCGTGAGTGAGTGAGTGAGAGAGTGAGCACAGCCGCCCCGTGTGTGAGTGAGTGAGAGAGTGAGCACAGCCGCCCTGTGAAGAGGTCACGGCGTAGACAGACAAGCCTGGTGTCGCCCTTGCTCGCCACAGCACTGACTCCAACTCAGAGGAGGGACCGGGATGCGTTCTAGGTGCTCCCTGGAGTCCACAGTAAACGTCTTCACTCCTTTTCCCACAACAGGCGCGGTACAAGCAGAGCCTCGATCCGACCGTGGATGAAGTCAAGAAACTCTGCACGTCTTTACGCCGGAACGCCAAGGAGGAGCGGGTCCTCTTCCACTACAACGGCCACGGGGTGCCCAGGCCCACGGTGAACGGGGAGGTCTGGGTCTTCAACAAGGTGGGCCTGCTTTCAAAATTTCTTTCTCTTTCTGCCAAGAAGCTTATAGGTTTTGGTGGTTGGCCGTGGGTCCCGTTGAGCCCATTTCAGGAAACCCAGATCAGTCACACTGGCTGGGACCAGTGAGCTCGTTATCTGGGGGAGCTTGGGGTCCTTTCTTTTTCACAGCAAAAGTTGGAATGCGATCAGGCACAAGGAGGTGCTTCTTCGTGAAACCTGCTGGAGAAATGACGTGAGAAGTCCTGAGGTGGAGCACGTCCGGTTTGCTTTTCGCTCTGTGACAGCAGGGGTCGCTGGTGGCTCTTCGTGGAGGAAGACCTGGAACACGCCTACCTTTTAGTTGAGCAGTTCCAATCCTTCTCAATTGTGTTAGACTCTTCCTTTGAGGACAGTGATTTTCTTTTATTATTTTAATAATTATTCATTTAATTTTATTATTTTTTATTATTCTTAAATTTGACCAGAGAGAGAGAGAGAGAGAGAAAGAAAACCTCCAGGTCCAGGATTTGAACCACGGTCAGCCATGTGGGAGTCCAGCACCTCAACCACCACACCACCTGCTGGCCCCGAGGACTGTGATTTTCTTAGACAGCCAGATGCCTGGATGTTCTCCAAGAGCTGACGCTAAGCCACCCTGCAGACGTGACCTCAGTTCTCTTACCAAGGCTTGAACTTCCTGGCAGAATTCTGGTAGTTTCTGAGCTAAGGGTTAGCTGACGTGAGGGTTGAGTTTGCCACCTTGGGCCGACTGGAGAGGTTCATCCCGGTTATGTGGGAACTTCTGGAACCCTCAGAGCAGCCAACCACAATGTTTCTGTGGAGGTGTGTCACGGCCTCCCCCATGCGTACCTGGCATGCAGAGTCTCTGCTCAGGGTGGGGCCATGTCCTGATAAACCCATCACAAGTTGGAAGTGTCCCATGTTAAACATGTTCAGCTCGTCTGACTTGCTGAACATCATGGCTTGGCCCTGCCTGCCTTCACTGCCCTCAGAATGCCCAGGTTAGCCCATGGCTAGGCAAGGCCATTGGGCTCAGAGCCCCTTTTATAACAAAGTATCGAATAGCTTGTGGTCTGGAAATAGATTAAAATCCAAAATTTGAAATGTAGTTTCTGTTGGAAGTATATTGCTTTGTACCATTGTCCAGTTGGAAATGTACAACCTGCTGTTTGTTGGGGCCCACCTGGTTATATGGGCGCATTGATTTGGTGGCCCAGTGCACTTGCATTCTGATCTTAGCTGCACCTCTTCCTAGCCTTAGGACTGTGGCCAATTGTCGGCCGCCCCAGGGGAGCCGTGGGGGTGGGGGGAGAGGCGTGCCACACAGAGTGGGCAGAGGGCCCTAGCTTCCTGCACGCAGTGAGCTCCCAGTGAAGGCTGGCAGCCCGCTTTCCCTGCGAGGACTTGGCGCAGTGGGAGGTGGCACAGGCACTTAGTACAGTCAGAGAGGTCCACAGGAAGGCTTCAGGACCTCTGAGCACGAGGGAGCCCCGGCAGGGAGCTCCGAGGGGAGCAGAGCAGCACCCTCCGTGGGTGCCATCCCTCGTACGTGCCTAGATGCCAGCCTAACTGTTTTCACTGGGTACCAAGATTCAAAGCTGTGATCATGAAAGAAGTGGGATTGAAAGCAACACAATACAGTGAACCACCAGGTGTCCACTCAGGGAAGGACCCTCTCAAGTCCCTGTGTGCCTTCCTCACCCTCACCCCTGCTCCGGGATAGCCAGGGCAGAGAATTTCCTGTTTATTGTCACACGTGTTCCATGGCAACCTCGTGCTTGGCTCCCGAACAGGGTGGGTATTGGGTGTTCTCTGTCAGCGTGATGGGGTAACTCTGTGTGTGCCTCTGTGGCACCATGTCCCTCAGTCTGGCTCTGAAGGTCTGTCCCACTGTGGTCTAGAGCTGTCCACCTCCATCTCACTGCTGAACTCGTGCTGGGACTGAGCTTCCATGTGGCTGGACCTTGGGTGGGTCGCCATCTTATCCTGGGCTGCTGCCCAGCGTCTCACCGCCCACCCTCCTCGCACTGGGCGCCGGCAGAGCTTCTCTTTGCACTTGTACCCGTTTGGGGGAGGTGACAGGGACAGATGCTGTCCAGTTCGCGTGTCCCCGAGAGCGGTTGTGGGCGAGCACCTTCCCACGGCCCGCTGGCCTTTCAGGCTTCCTCCTCTGCGAGCTGCTGGCCTCCTGTCTGACCGCCACAGGCTGTTGGCCTCTTTCTTACTGATTCAAGGGGCAGTACGTTCCAGGTGGAAATTCTTCATCATTTTTCTGAATTGCAGTGAATTTTCTGAATTGATGACTCAGTGTTGTTTTTGTTTTGCCTTGTTCCATGTTTTATTTTCTACTGTGTGTTCCTTGAGGGACAGGAGCTGTTTATTTAGGAATGGTCTCAGTCGTCTGTTTTTTCTTTATGGTGTGGACTGTTTGTACCTTATGTAGAATACTTTTCTCATGCCAAGGTCATAAAAGTACCCTTGCTGTTCTCCTAAACCGTCTGCATTTTAAACACACTTAGGCGCGGATCTGCTTGGAGCCAGTCATGTGGCAGCGCAGGTAGCAGCTTGCACACATTCTTACAGGGACACCCACCTGCCCGTTTCCGTTCCGTGCCAGCTGCACAGTACGCCCCGCTTCCACACTGTAGGGCCTTTCCCTTCTGTTCTGGGGCCTCCCTCTGGTCCCATGAGTCCAGGTTTTCAGAGATTTTTGATCCTGGGGACATTAAGTACCCCTTGCTGTCCTTCAGCGACATCTTGGCCATTCTTGGCTCTTGAATCTTCCATGGGAATATGAACTGGCGTGCCGAGTTCGTGAGAAAAGCTGGGGGATTCTGTCCTGTCGACAGGAGAACAGAGGCGAGAGCATCCTCACAGCGTGGGGTGAGGCCTGCCCACGCAGAGCGGCATTTCGGGCTTCCTAGGACTCCATGTTTCTGGTGCTGTTGTAAATTGTGACTACTAAAAGTGCATGTCCTAGTTCTTACTGGGGTGCATGGAAAGGTAGTTGATTTTTATGTCTCTGTGTTATACCTACCCATTTTGCTAGCCTCTTATTGACTCTGATCATTTATTTATATGTACGTGTAGGTTTTCCTAATGGACAGTAATGCCATGCTCGAATAGTTTAGCTTGACCTCCTCCTCTCCAGTCTGTGCCCTTTCTCATTCTGTCTGACTGTGCAGGCCGACGCCACCATTGCCCCCGTCATTGTTTCAGAGGGGGCACTTTCTGTGTTTCAGTCTATGGTTTTTTGTTTGTTCGTTTGTTTTCGTTTTTTTGCCATAGGGTATGCACACACCAGAAAGAGACAGAGAGAGGGAAAGTGAGAAATCACCCCCAGAAACAGTGGCCACACCACAGTCCCTTCTCCATTCTCCTGTAGGGATTTTGGGCACGCATGCACATGCACCCGGCATGACTCTCAAGCCACTGGGTCTGGATCTTGAACCATGGTCTGCCATGATAACAATCCAGACCTTAACCACCACACCGCCTGGTGGCCCAGTCTGTAATATTTGCTGTGGGCTTTTTGTGAAAAAAATTTTTTTCCTCACTCTGGGCGCGTGTGTGTGCATGCCCAAGATCCCAAGAGGAGAATGGAGGAAAAGGGATTGCAGCGTGGCAATCCCCCTGGGGGAGGGTGATTTCTCACTTTCTGTCTCTCTGTCTCTCTCTGTCTATCTGGCAAGCGCACGCGCCCTATAGCAAAAAAAAAGAAACTCTCAAAAAAAAAAAGTAAAAATTAAAAAAAAATTTTTTTTGGACTGATTATGACTATTCTATTCCTGCTTTGACTTTTAAAAATATAATGGGCCCAGCACCTGTACTTATGCTCGGTAGCATGCTAGGCTGCAGTGCTGGGAGCCACATGCCGACTGGGGTTTGCTTTTTGGCTGGTCAACCTCAGGTGTGCTGAGTGTGAGCCCAGAACCATGTGCCTGAGATCCGAGTGAGCTGGAGACCTGATGTGACTAGGCCCTGTCGAGGGGTATCTTTCTTTCTCTTCTGCTCTCACACATATGCATGGACACGCACGCTCTCTGTCTCACACACACACACACACACACAGAAATCATGAATAGGTGTTGATTCTGTTCAAGCTGCTATTTCTACGTCATTAAGATAGCCACATGACACTCCGTGACTCTAACATGGACCCTGCCATCCGTTCTTGGAATAACCTGCTGTCATTACGAGTTCTCTTCTGGATCCGTGGTCTAGCTCAGCTTGCTGGCGTTTTGTTAGCAGGGCTGTGGTCACGAGTGAGATTTGCTTGTCTCTCCTGTCTGCCTGGTCCAGCGGTGGCCTTGGAAAGCATGTTGGGGCTGTTCCTCCTTTGTGTACCTCATGAGGCTCGGAGGGTCAGCTAGCTGAACGCTTGGTGGGGCTCGCAGACGCCTGGCGGTGTTCTGTCGGCGCGGGGATCGTGCTGGCTTAGCTCCTTTCAGGTGAAGAGTGAGTCCACGTCTTCTCTTTCTTCTTGGCCAGCTCGGCTCCCTCTCCCTTCCGTAAGGATTCGTGCATCTCAGCTGCGTTGTGAAGTGTGTGGCATAGCTCACTGGTTGCCAGCTGCGCCCTCTGCCAGCCCTGCGGTGGGCAAGTGCCTCTGTACGTCCCTCTCTGGCCAGCCGCCGACACTGCCACGCACTCTCATCTCTGCGTGAGCATTTTCTCCCAGGACCCCCGGCGTGAGGAGTAAGGACGTCCTCCCCGTAGTCACAGGGCCGTTAAGACACGCGAGGAGCTTCCGGTCCCTCTGCGTCGTTCTGTGGGCCGCACTCACATCTTCCACTGTCTCCCAGGTGTGTGCTGAGACATAAGCTCGCTGCTTGTGACCTGCTCTGGGTGCGGGTCCCGTCAAGGCTCACGCGTGCATTCGTCCCTACTGCCAGTTAGCCTCCTGGCCGTGGATGGCTCCTTGCCGTTTTTCTTTTGTGACATTGATGTTTTCTGGACGTGAGGCTCTATTTATCTTCCTTTAGCGACTTAGTGTACAT